GCTGACGAAGTTGTGGCTATTCTGAGCCCTCCAAACCATGCTGCCTGAAAACCATGTTGCAGGAGCTGGTTGTGCACCGCTGTGCGGTTGCACATCACCAGAAGCTGCGCTGTCGCTCCTTGGCTAAGGTCCCGATGACACTTTTGAAGGTAGTTAAGGAAGACTACGACATCTTCAATGGCTGCCATAAGGTCTTTGGGAACCTCCCACAGAACCGTCCGGAATCCTCCGTGCTCGACTGTATGATCGTGAGGTACAAAGTGCCCTATCTGGATGGGGTCTTGGTCATGCAGTACCAGTTCTGGGTACCTAACTGCGACGATAGCTTTGTACGTCAGCAGAGACACTCGTGAACTGTTAGGCAGTATGATGCCCCATCTGCGCGGGCCGTCCAGGCCGGCTGCTTCCACTGTGGTTGTACACTCAGGGATTCCAAACTCTTCTGGTGCAGTAGCGATCAGCAGGACTGCTAGTATTGCTGAGATCAGGCAACTAGCAACATTGAGATGGCTGAGCGTCTCCTCACTGAAAAGGCGCGCCAGAGAGGTTGGCAGGTGTTGTGTGGTCGTTGCGGTAGTCCAGACTCCTGTATGTGGTGCTTGGCCAACGTTGAGCAGACACGCAACATCAGAGTCATTATCCTGGCTCGCATCCGGCCAGAGGAGGGCGATAAGCTTGGTGAGCCGGGCAGGAGGCAGGTAATCGCCAGGGCGATTCAGGGCTCGCGGGACGGTGGAGAAGCTTCTGCCTATTTGCTGCCGCAGCTCTTCCTTTGGATAGGCCCCCAGGTGTTTGCCTATGGTCCCCCACAAATACGATAAGTGCTGGCTGTTGGATGGCAGCAAGTGCAGCGATTTCGTGATAGTTGCCGTACTGCTGGCTTTCATCCATAAACGCTAGCCACGCCCTGGAAAGCCATAGACTGAATGATGAGTATTTCATGGCCATTTCCGCAGTAGCTGATCCTCCAGTCGCAATCAGAATGCGCTTTTCCGCGATGACTCTGTTGCGATCGCTACATCGCACATCAATTCTTGTCGCATACGCTTCGCCCTTTCCTTCCTCGATACGACCCAGCAATCGTCCAAAGGTTGATTGTGTTGGTGGGGAAAGATCACTGATCTGGTCAGCAAGGGCTTTCGCAGCGACATTTTCCTTGGTGTAAACGACAGCATAGAAGTCATCTAGTTCGCAGCTGAGAGCGATTAACAGAACTGCTAAGGAGCGAGTTTTTCCAGCGCCAAAGACGCCTGCTATACATAGGTCAGAGCGGCCAGTGAGGATCGCCAGGAGCAATGCTACTGCCACGGTGAGGACATGTCCATCGCCATGCCCCGCTAGAGCGAGCAGGCTGTCCCGCATGTACCCGTCATGTGCTCCCGGCGTCGATACGCACGATAGTCAGCGGCTCGACTGGTGCCATGCATCACTTTTTCTTGGACTAGGAAAATGGCACAGCGGCGCACGCCATCAGCGAGCTGGAAGCGCCCAAACAGTGCCCTGCCTGCCATCACATTTGATTCCATGCTCCCTAGATTGCCAGTTGCGCATAGGTTCCACGGTGACGCGTGGGGGACAGCATTCGGATCACTGAAGAGCAAGATAGGAGCACCCTCTGTGAGCAGCTGGATGACATGAAAGCCAGCATAGGCTTCATACACATATTTGACCGCAAGCTCTACACCCTGTTGGCCTCGTGCTTGCAGTTGCGCCAGCTCAACGCTGATCCAGGGTTGTAGGTGCTGCAGCTGACGGCCGGCATGATAAGCGTCAAGTTGTGGCAACACCATATCTAGCAGAAATATCAGGGTGCGAAGAGAAAACCCACGAAGGAATTCGGCAAGCAGGTTCCTCATGAGGTGTCCCCCTTCAGCATGAGCCTGTCCAGGGATGGGGATCATGTCAATCAGCACCTGGCGCAGATCCTGTTCAGTAGCGAGGGGATCATCCCTTACATCTCTACCGTCACATGGCACTGTATGCAGGTCAGAGCATCCATCACCTGCAGCCTGGAGTAGCGCACTCAGAGTGCGTTCGCAATGATCGGGGAGATCAAAACTAACCCATGAGAGCACTCGCAAGAGCCCTTCACATCGTATCCCATGCGGTATGACCTCAGGGGTCGTGATTTGGAGATAATCTATATGATAGGTGCCTTCTTCAATTGGGGTAAACAATAGGTGGCCATATGCATGCCTGGCACGGCCACTCCACGATGGATGCCCGTCTATAAGGACAATGTTATAACTCAGGTCTGTGAGAGTGTCTGGACGCCACACGCAGAGTCGGTCCTCGAGACAATGCAAGAGCACCACCCTTCGTTCCCCAGTGGCCAGACGCAACATTTCAGGCGGAGAGGCAATTGCTGCTACCTTATTGGTACCCGGGAAGCAATCAAATTCATTTAGCACTTCATGGATTGCGAGCCCAGTATACGATCCCGCAGAGAAACCAAGGACGTCAATATCCCTAATCCCATCCGGGACGGGTACCGTCACATACTGTGGAAAACAGGCTCGCAAAAACAACAATTTGCCTTGTGGGTGATAGCACCGGAAGATCTGACGAACCGCAGTGACCCACGTGGGATGGGGTGGTCTTGCATGCGCTGGCCGGATCGTAGCAGCAGTCAACAACCGTATGGCACGGGTGATCAAAAGCTTATGATTAGCAAATTTGTCCGGAAGGAACGCCCTCCACGCACTCCATCCCAGTGCAGTGGAGAACAACTGGTAAATTGCGTACTCATGTGTGGTTTTGGTCAACCCTAGCTGAGTGATGCGCTGCTCCCAGTCATCTGTCATTGCAAGTGAGGGGCCATAGGCTTTCATTTGCGCATGATTCTGAAAGAAAATGTCGTACTCATGCTCAGGGCTTAACAGCCCTCCACCCAATCCACTACAATGCACTGTGAGGGGTCGATCCGGCATGGGAGAATCCTCTTGCCAGACATTTCCCACCGAGAAGATCCATTGCGCCCATTTCTTCGGCCGGTCAATCAAAACCTGCGAAGTTCTTGCGGCAGCTCCCGTGTAGATTCGCTGGGCACACTGCACTAGATCGAAGACTTCACCTTTCATTTCTGCTTGCCAGTCCTCTGGTGTGCGGAATACTGCTGGGAGACCGAAAGTGAGCTCCGCTGACTGGGTGAGGGCACGGCACTGGCTTCCCATTGTAGCTCGTCGCTCCCACAGACCAAGCAACGCCACGGTCTGCTGGTAAGAGAGCGGGGACGGTGGGATTTTCGCATGAACACGTAGGCCAATGACAGGGAGAAAATTGTGGTGTAGCCATTGCGGCTGCCAATCTCCTGTTCCAAACAGAGCTGCCGCTAGCGGTAGCCACCCAAATTGCGCCAACTCCGCCTACGCTGTGCTTTGAGTGATCAATAGGGGGGAGAGTAGGATCGCGTCGCGTGAAACGCGTAAACTGAACCAATCGCAAGACTCGACCAGAAACTCCAAACTAAATTTCACATCACATCAAAATGACATGCCACAGAAAATCACTGCAGTTGAAACGACATGTGTGTAAACTAACATCAACTGAAAAGGCTGAAGCAGAAACCTTCACACGCATTTTGGACACGTCGGTGGTGAAGCCTGCACTCTGTGTCTTCACGTTGTACCATTGTACAAACGCTGTAGTTGTGTGAGCCTTCACACAAAGTTTTCAGCAATCCACCAAGCTTCCAAGTCTGTAGAATTGAAACACCCAAGCTTTCAAGTTTGTAGGATTGAAACATCCCAGTCTGTTGTCGTTCAAGATGCCTCACCCCTGGGTGACAAATGCAGGCATCATCCCAAGGGTGGGCTGGGCGGGTACCCAAAAGTTTTCTCCAAGCCATCGCTCACGAAATATAAAATTCGTCATGAATCAAGTGCAAGTTGAAGACATCAAAACTGAATGTTTGACAAGCATTGACAGTCACAGTAAAATCCACAAGTCACCTCTGTTGAAGTCCAAGTACTGTAAAATTTCAACAAGCTCAAAAAGGCATCGAGAAAATGATTCCAGAGAAACTTTGCCACACTCTGCAAATTGAAAACCGGAATTTGTTTGTTGAGGTTGTTGTTCGGCAACGGAGTTAACCCAGCGACGAAGCAGTATCCAAGCAAAGCACCCACAACGAATCCCACCCACCCGCCCTGATACCCAAAGCGCCGCATAGACCCACAGGGCAAGCCCAGTGAAGCCTACGCTGTGCTTTGAGTAATCAATAGGGGGGAGAGTAGGATCGCGTCGCGTGATACGCGTAAACTGAACCAATCGCAAGACTCGACCAGAAACTCCAAACTAAATTTCACATCACATCAAAATGACATGCCACAGAAAATCACTGCAGTTGAAACGACATGTGTGTAAACTAACATCAACTGAAAAGGCTGAAGCAGAAACCTTCACACGCATTTTGGACACGTCGGTGGTGAAGCCTGCACTCTGTGTCTTCACGTTGTACCATTGTACAAACGCTGTAGTTGTGTGAGCCTTCACACAAAGTTTTCAGCAATCCACCAAGCTTCCAAGTCTGTAGAATTGAAACACCCACCGCAGCGAAAGACGAAAAGGAAGATTGGACATTTACCAAGGTGTCTTATCGACTCTCTTCCTCTTCTTTTCTGGTTCCTTCGGAATCGATGTTTTCGCCAACAAACGTGCCTCATCAAAATCTGCCTTGACCTGCCAAAGTGCATGTATGATCTCCGTCGGGATATCATCATATTCAACATGTAGCCTTTTCTCCATGTCCAGTTGTGTGAAAACAGAGTTAGTGATATCATCTGCAACCGTGTTCTCTTCACGGGGTCTCCATTTCAGCTTGACCACCGTCCTCGATCGTGCAAGAAGCGATGAAAGTTGCATGTTCACCAACATCAACGGCCACTTCGTGGTCGACCGCTTCTGAGATAAATATTCATTTGCTCTGTTGTCCGTACCTGCTGTCAAATGTAACTCAAGCTCCTTCCTAGAACGGGCATCTCCCGACCATCCAAACACAACTAATGCTGCAAGTGTCGCCAATAACTCGGCCGAAGTTGAGGCCCACTGTGACCCCTTCCCATGTGAAAATAAATATGGCACGTCGGACTCCGACAGAATAAGCTGGAACCATCGACCAGTTGATATTTCCCATCCACCAAGGACAACTGAAGTATCAGTGCACTTTGCATCTGTCCTGAATTGCTCACCTGTGAACGTGGCCGGCCTCTTCGCTGAGACCATGTAAGTTTCAGATCTGAACTCAGTCAGCAAATATGTCATTGTCAAGATCACCGCATCCGGAAGCTTCGCAACTGTGCTGCCGGATGTGGCTGATGCCCAAGCATACAATGGCGATAAATGCGGCTTCAGCCACACCAGTAACTGAGAGACGAATCCAAGCCGGCCAAGAAATTCAGAGAATTCACGAGTCACAACCACAAACCTCTTTTCCGCAGCGGTGTTGATCCATTTCACAAGCCAATCGCCCCTTCGTAAAGAAATCCCTACCTCATTGAGGTCATATCTCAGTTGGTATCCAACAAATTCAGAGGAGAACCCGCCACGAAACTTGTGATAGGCAAACGGCGTGCCAACCAGTTCAAAGGCCAAAATCCAAACCCACAAGTTCGTAAATTTCTCCCTGCCGACAAATGATCCGTGTAAATCGTCAACATAAACCAGATGAAGAAACCAAGCGTTCATCATGAGATGCCCTACAAATCGTCCAACCATTGCAAAGAGTTTCGCCCACCAGTAGGGCGCGCTTGAGATGCCAAAAGTTCCAACCCTGTTAACCCACACTGTAGGTGAGTCAGTGTTTGCTTTGCAACACATGTATGGCCAATCACAACGACGCACCTTCACAAGTCTGTGTGCCGCTTTAATGTCTGCCGACACACAAAAGGGAGCTTCCAAGGTTTCAACAGATTCCCTCACCACTGCCGCAACTTCAGCAGGTCCAGGGCATTGTATCTGATCTCTGTAAACAATGCGATTGTTAACTTGAACTGAATGTGTACCATCATGTAGTGGCCTGACGGTGCCGTCAGGCTTGGCAATCGCAGCCATGGCAGCAATCCTGATACGCTCTTCACCAAACTCCTGCTTCAACGTAGAAAACCTGGTCGGGTACATGCGCCCCAATGCCTCCTCTTCTCTGAACTTGGCTTCCAACTCAGTGGATGAGACCTGAGCTGATTGATAGTTGTTTGCAATGGGATTGAACTCGGAGTCATCAAGTTTTCTATGCTTCACTTTCTCAGGGTATACCTGAGGTGTCCGTGGCAGTGGTGCATCAACACCCAATGGTACCCCGGTCGCAAAACTATCCTCTATGTCCACCAGAGTTGGGGCGTCTGGATCTCCAAACACTGTGAGCCATTGTGACAGCCCCCTAAGCAAAAACGGTTGTCCCTCATCAACAATAAGTGCATCTGCTGGATCAGACAAAAGGGAAGCCCACCTCTTTCTCAATGCTGTAAGCTCTCCAACTGAAAACGGTGAGGATTCAAACTTTCCAGTAACCAATCTGAACGCTGCTGCCCTGACATCAGGAATGCATCTGTGAACCATATCCTGCAGCAAAACAAAAGTCTCTGACGCCAACTTTCTCATTGTGTCCGACCTCCTCACACCTCTTGCAAGAGGTGGCCATCTCGTGGGTGAGCAAAGACCAAACCCATCCACAAACTCACGAGAGCGGCCATCCCATTCAACACTAATAGGGCGGCCCCTATTCAAGCATGCTTCCATATCGAAGCCCTGTGTGTCATGTACCACGTCATCATCGTTTTCAGCACATGCATGGTTCTGAGCCTCTCCTGGGGCCGTATCTGTTGTTGGCGCAGCTGTATCCCCGCAAAACGCCGCTGTGTGAGAAGGCATAGCACTTGACTCAAGTGAAGCCAATTGCTTGCCATTCTTTGCACCCCCTCCGGAGGTTGCGACAGCACCAAAAATGGCATCTGCAATAAATTTGCACATACCTGGAGGGTATGCTGCACTGGGACTTGTATTCCAACGGTTTCCAGTCTTTCCCATAAGTTTGTACGTGTGTCTGTGACCGCATTTTTGTGGAAGTGGGCCCAAATACCTGTTAGTCTTGTCAAACTTTGGAAACCCCAAGTAGCACCTGCGGTCTTGAACCTGAAAATTACACATCAGTCGTGTAGGCTTGGATGTCAATGCGCCAAATTGGCACTGATGAATTGCTATTGTGATACCGTGGCACCATGCAGGTAAATTGTGGATCTCCTCCCATTGCCATATGGAGCCTGGGACCTCACCGTCAACGATCCCTAAATCTTCAGGGTGCTCAAGCAAAAACCATCCGTCATGCTGTACAACTACATAGCAAGCATTAATGCACTGCAAGACAAACTCATTGGCCTCGTTGACGATTTTCGCATTAACATTTGAAAGCCATGGGAATCCCTTAGGCCATGTGCGACTTCTGAGTGGCCTTGGGCCAGGATACCGTCGCCATTGAAATCGTGCACGTGAAAAGGTGTTGCACGGAGGACTGACGATCAAAAACCATCCTCCCTCCTTGAGTGTCTCACATATCTGGTCCCACAGCTCTTTGCTTCGCAAATCATGTGTCTCAGAACGTTCGATGTCAAATTCCTGCAACTGCAATCGAATCTTTCCAGCTTCCTCCAGCTTTTTCAAGAAAGTGCTGACATCCGATTGCCGCCGCTTCCCAGCAAACAAATAGAGAACCTTTACCAGCACTGGCTGTGCCGGTGGCCCGTTTGGCACGCCACCCCGGCTGGGATGGGTTGGCTGCCCATCATGTCACGAGCCAACAACTTCTTTGTGTTTGATGGCGGGATGGTCGCCATAACAGCCCTTGACCCGGCACTGATGAACTCGATCACATTTGCCATTGCAAGTGCCTGTATTGCAACCAAAGCACAACTCACGATTGTCTGGTGTCCTCCATGCCAGCTGCAAACCAACTAGCTCTTTACGGATCTCCTTTCCCTTGCCTTTTGAGCCTTTGCCCTTTCCCTTTTGTGGTTGAAATTTTCCGCCACCCTTGCTGTTGAACCTTTGAAACTTGTTCTGCTGAAAGCCCTCGGAGTGCTGTGACATGGAAGCGCGTAACGCAACAGGGGTGGTGAAAAACGTCTCCTTGAGCTCCGGGTCATGGATCACCCGGTGCAAAGCATCGGCAAATGAGATACCATCTCTGACAATCATCTTGCAAGCCTCTTTACGCAACCTGTGCTCAAAGCTCAACACGATAGACCAATCGGGCTTGACTCTCTGACTGCCCTCACCATGAAGTGAAGGGACTTGGATGTTGTAAACCTTCTCACCCAAGATGAAGTCAACGAACTTGTTGAATGGGGCAGCTGTCAAACCATGCAACCAGGATTTTGATTTGTACCTGGCTGCCATGCACAACCATGCATTCATCTCGACTCGCATCACTCTGCGATACTCTTCCGTGGTCGCCGGAAGCTTCGATTTCACCTTGGTCTTTGTGATCCTGATATGTCCTGATGAATCCAAGCCAGTCTGAAGCTCTGCCGTTTGTGAGTCACGCTTGCTGGTTACTTCGTCCAACGACGAAGCCTGTGGCTCATTTGTTTCTGTCTCTTCGGCCTTGACTGAAAGATACTCAGCAGAAGGGGCTTCTGCCTCTTGTAATGGCCCATAGACCAACTCCACTGCTTTCAACATTGCCTGCCTCTCGTGGACCTGCAAGGCCCGTGGCTGGCCAAGAACCTTTGCCTCTGCACGAATCTCCACCTCCTTCGAGATGTATTCCTGGGCAACCTCCCAGGCTGAAACCACTGCAGCTGTCTCTGCCCTGCTCTCTGGCGTATCCTGTGGAATCGCAAAGTCATTCAAACAGGCCCTACGCACGTCTGCACGTGTGTCACCAACTGCCCTAAATTTCCTCATGTTGCCATACCTCCTAGCAATGGCAACCTGTCCCTCCAAAGAGACGCCAGAATCTGCCAAAACAAATTGTAAATCTGAATCCATATGCGCAGCAACATATTCCTTTTGTTGTGCTTCGTCCATGGCAACCCACGCTGGCGGTCTAAACCCTGTGCCAACGCGTGCAAACTATTGAAATACAAGACATCGTTTCATGAGAACACCCATGGACAAAATCTCACAAAGGAGGATCAAGAAACGCATTGGAAAAACAACGAATCCAAGCGCTTAAAGTGGAGAGGTTCAAAATGGATAGCATCAGAAAATAAACTTCAACCAGAAAGTGACAAATAGAATTTGAATGAGTTTCAATGCCAATGTCTTGACAACGGCCTGAGCCCTTGGTTGTCTTCGCAACGTCTAAACGCATAATCCGGCTGCCACAACTGCTGAATAACCCTGACATCAATGTATTTGAAACTCAGTCAAATCGCCAACACACGCAAATCACAAGCACATGAAACACAAATTAAAACTCTCCAACAGTGTGAAATCCAATCGAGTTCAGACAGGTGAAAAGCTACAGCAAACAAATCAACACAAGTGGTCTAAACAACTCCCAAAATCCATGTGAACAGGGTCACACATGGATGCGCTCACTTTCCCTGGGAAGTGAGCGCATCCTTTTTTTTCGGCACCGTTGTTTAGATTCAGGAAATAAAGAGTTATCACCACGTTGGGTGAAAAACCTCTTAAGCTCTTCAGCGCCTGACGTTTAGTCTCCGGCCTGTTCCCCTTCAGGGCTATCGTCACCGTCAGTGGACGATGAGGAAGCAGTCGAACTTGACTCCTCAGGAGTGTCCTTACCCGCTTCCTGCAGCATACGCTTTTTGCATGCACGACAAATAGAATCGAACTCTTCGGAAGTAACTGTGTTACACAATCTGACTTCACAGCAATTGTCTGGTTTTACAAAGCACCCAACCAAATGCAGCCGTCTGTGTCCAGCCCTCCGGGACACTGTGATGAAGAACTTGTGAGACTCCTTGGATTGCAAGTGTTTCGCATTCTCTGTGACCTGTGCCTGAACTGCCATTTCAAGCTCAGCGTTCTCAACCGCTGCACCATCATCAATATCAACCCAGTCATCATCTCTCACTTCCAAAGTGGGGTATTGCATACCCAAACAAGTGCGGCCTGTGATGGGCATCATGACACTGTGCCTCTTTTTGATCCTCATTGGATTGGCTCCACTGTTCTCTGCCGTTTGACAGAGGCTTGTAATGGCTTCGTCCTCAAAGTACTCTTCCTCATGACCCTCAACAATTGAGCGGTTGACTGCACGTTGAATTTTGTAAACAACCTGTCTGGCTGTCCTGACATACTCCTCTGATGATGTCATGCCAATTGCCCAACGTCCCAAGTATGCACGCATGTCTTTGCTGAATCCTATGAGTGCAGCCACTGATGTCAGAAAGTTCCGTGGGCTATGTCCAGAAAAATGCATTTCCAAACCGTCAGGAAGAAGCAAAGAAGATCCCATCAGCTCCCAGTAAGCCTGCCTCCTGAGAGGGACCCTCAACGTGCTCAGCAGCTTCCGTATCATCGAACTCAAGTCAGAGGGCGTTGCAAATTTACGCCTAACAGACTGCCAATCATGCCGTGGTTCCATCACCAGGTAATCACGCCTGTATGAAAACATTTCTGATTCCCAGAGCCTGTAGCCAATGCCAAGCCAATCAACTCCAGTCAGTGAAATGGTGCGATACACAAACCCTGCAATCTCCTTCTGCGGTTTGTCTGGCCCTGTCGTTTTCGTTTTACCCATGACCACCTTCAAGCCAAAGTTCGTGAGAATGGTTCTGTGGGGTAAAATTGACTGCACATCATCGCAACGCAATGCAGCCCAAACCATGACCAAAACCACCCATGAAAGTGCTCGTGCAAACACCGGTTGTGACTCATCTTCAATTGTAAGTTCCAATGAAAGCAACATCGCAACTGTATACATCTCTGCTGGACGTCTGGGTGGACTCAGCTGAGAGCTCAGCCGTCCACGACTTCACATGGCCGACCCAAAGGGGGTCCTTGGAGATCTGCTGGTCCTCCGGCACACGTCCCAGCACCTCCAACATGTTCAAAACAATGGCAAAAGACTCAGGTACTGTCTTACCACAACCATCGTCTACTCGAAACTGTAAATAGTCGATGACGTCCTTGCATGACAATGGAAAAAGTCTCCCACGATGCAGCTCCAACCAAGTCTCAAAAGGTTTCCAACTCTTGTATCTGTTTTTCAATTTATTTGCACGTCTCGCTGCAAAGAGATGGATCCATGCACTCGCCGGATCATCTAAGGTCTCAACCAGTTTAACCACAGGCAGCTCAGCATTCTTGATGACACCCGCCAAAAGGAAAGAATACTTGCGACGCTCTGCATCAAATTTCTTAGCCCTAGCATCATGAGGTTCATCCTTGTACTTACGCTGTTTCTTCTTTGATGCCAATTCCAAAACTGTGTCTGAGCTGGACTGAGTGATGGACATGAACGAAGTCTGCAAGTCAGCTGAACTCCCAGGTGGCAATCTGTAAAGGCCATCTGAAACTGTTTGTGACCGTAACCGTTTGAAGGCAGGGACATTGTTACTTTGCCAAACCATCATTGCAGCAGTTAAGTTCCGGACAGCTTCATCAACCATGTCAGGAAACAATGCTTTGACAAGTGAAGTGCAATCTGCATCATCATCAAATGCTGCTTGTAAACTCAACGGAGTCCTAAACAGCCTCTGAAAAACTAGCAATGTGACAGGGTCCACACTAGGCCAGTCGCCCTCCATTGCATCCGTACAAGAACTGCCGCGTCCAATCTGTATTGGATGGTGAAACGTCCCTACCTACCCAAAAGTTTTCTCCAAGCCATCGCTCACGAAATATAAAACTCGTCATGAATCAAGTGCAAGTTGAAGACATCAAAACTGAATGTTTGACAAGCATTGACAGTCACAGTAAAATCCACAAGTCACCTCTGTTGAAGTCCAAGTACTGTAAAATTTCAACAAGCTCAAAAAGGCATCGAGAAAATGATTCCAGAGAAACTTTGCCACACTCTGCAAATTGAAAACTGGAATTTGTTTGTTGAGGTTGTTGTTCGGCAACGGAGTTAACCCAGCGACGAAGCAGTATCCAAGCAAAGCACCCACAACGAATCCCACCCACCCGCCCTGATACCCAAAGCGCCGCATAGACCCACAGGGCAAGCCCAGTGAAGCAAGTCGCGATGGTAGACGTTGCTTGGCACTCGTTCCAAACCCATGCAAAATAGCAGGCCTCATAAAGCCTTGCTCAATTTCCATGGCCTGGTAAATTTTGTCTCCTGGTAATACTTTTATCACAACCTCCCCTGGGAGGAGGCTGAGTGCTGGCAGGGCCCCTTGCTCATATGCAGGACGGGCCCACTTATGAAAGTTGGGTTGCCTGCCTTGGAAGCCATCAAGGATTCCTCGCAAGTGTCCATGCCGAGGCCACACTCCCGTCTCGGGAACCGGAAAGGTAACCCACCCTGACCATTGCCCCAGTAAGCTCCAGGCATGACACCAGTCAGCTGCACATCGAGTGGTGGTGCCTAGAAGTGGCGATCCCAGTAAACCACTAGAAACGGCAGTTTCAGTGTCACAAGGCGGCTGGGTGGTTGAAAGGTAACCTTCAACATGTTCAAGGTAGGCTTTGCTGGCAATAGTAGCGAGTTCATCTGGGTCTCGCTCAGGATCAGCAAGTTCAGACTCCAGGAGTGGGCTGCGATGTCCAGACGCCAACACAATGACTAGTCCAGCATTAATTTCCGTGAAGGCTTCACAGACCAGGATGACACCCTTGCTGGCCGCAGGTTGCGGTGCTCTAATGGTTACCCTTTTGTCCGTTGAACCAGAGCACGAATGGGCAGTGGGCGAGGAGTTGCCGCTTTTCTCTTCTTCTCGCTCAGTTGGGTGTGGACTCGGCGGTTCTGACCCACCAAAGTCGACCTCATCCTCAAAATTGCCCGTAGCATCTGGAGGCGGTGCCCGCACGTCAATGGCCGCAAAGTTCTCAACACTGCGCGATTTTGGCAGCTTGATAGGGGGCCAGGTTGTTGCTGCGTGGCTTTCCCCGTGTCAACAGATCGTGCTCTCTTCTGCGCAGGTGCAATCGGACTGCTCGGCATCAGCTCAGGTTGTAGGCACCCTTCAGCAGGCGGGTCATGCCCTGCGCACGATAGCCACAGCTCCTGAATTTCGAAGAGCGTCACAGGCACGCAATCACTATCAATGAGAGCAAAGTTGATGCTCGGGAAGAGAAAGACACATGCATCCAGTATGTAGGTTCCAGCCCAAGTAGGGTGCACCTTGTCCAGGCCTGTGTCTGCCGATATGGGCACGAATACAACTGTGGTGTGCTGACCATAAGGGCCCACGTATCGGATTCGCTCCTTCCACCACGCAGCAACCATGGGCCAGTGACTTAATCCTGGAGTACTGGCAACCGTATCCGCTAGCAGGTCTCGATTATCAGTGATGAGGTAAACAGTCTGGAATGCCAGGAACTCAGCGGCTTGGCTGACGACCCAGCGATAGAGGCTGTGCCAATTAGGTCCCGGTGCAACCTCAACACCATTCACTACCTTGATCTCATAGTCGTGCCTATCAGGTTCGCCAGACTTCTTGTGGAGGTCTCCAAATCGCCATTGGTGATGGACAGTCTGGTTCAAACCATACTCAGTGGAAATATCTTTATACAGGCCCAGAGCTTCCAACAGGTCATCAAATTGTGCTCTGGGGTCAGGTTCGAACCAAGTTTGCTCAGCTTGCTGTCTAGTAAGAAGCTCCATGAAACAGTATTGGAAGGCAGCAGCCCCTGAACCAGTCTACGGCCAGAGACAGTGCCGGGTTGAAAGGGTTTTGGGGGACCAGCGGAGTGATACCCCTGACCAGTCTGCGGCCAGAAGTACCACACTGGGACACTTGTTAGGTAAGGGAGTACCGAAAGGGAAAGGGGGAAGTAGGAGAACAGCACAGCAAACCAAAGAGAGGGGGGAAAGTAAGGGCGGTGCTGGAAATCCTGGACCAGTCTACGGCCAGAAAGACCAGGCA